GAAAAAGGAAGCTAATAAACAGAGGAACACACGCGGGACCGCCGCTTGCGACATGATTGCTGTGCGTCAACTGAGGCGATATAATATTCTATTTCGTTAGAATCGGCACATTTCGCTCGTGAATGCTCGCGAATATTTTCGACACGCGATTTGATTCGAATCGGGCGCGCACACAATCATGACTTCAAGGAGTAAAAGATCGGTGTTAGTTCCTACTTTATTTTCGATCGACTCGCTAAGACGCTTACGCATACGTAATATGTTCCGTTTCCATATATATATAAAAATTATAATTACAGGTATATCTCTTACACACATATATGTATATTCGTAGAAATTGCAGAAGCAGCGTTTCTTCACAGCAGGTACAATTTATGACTGGTCTGGTGAGTTTGTCCGGCGAACGGACGAGGAAAGAAGGACTCTCGAGGAACCACTTTATATTGTACTTTCGAAGAAGAAACAAACCTACACTGTAAACACTGCATGCCATGATATATGAAACATTTCAGGTCCACGATCCATTTGTCATCTTTCTTGGCGCACGCACGTTTCGCGAGAGAAGCGGAAGCGTTTTCAAGTTGAGCGGCCATACCGATGCAAGAAAAATACAGAGAGAGGATGTAGTCGAATTTGTTGCGGATGAACTCTCTCTCCCTCTCTCTCTCCCTCTCTCTCTCTCTCTCTCTCTCTCTCTATTTATATATATACGTACAAAGTTTCTCCCTATCGCAGCAAAGAAGTTCGTTAAAAAAAAAAGAAAAGTGACATTAAAGTTGTATTCCTTTCGCAGTGCATGCATTATCTCTCGCGGTATGCAAGCAAGAGTATGCAAGTCTCGATTTACAATGCAAACAAGTCACCGTGTAATGTTTTCTTGCCATTCTTATCTTTATTATCATCATCGTTATCATCATTAATACTAATGTTAATATTCTTTATCGTTATTATTATCATTATCATCGGCATCATCATTCTTATCGTTATTACTATTATAATATGTTACTATTATAATATGTTGCTCCACAAATATATTCGCACGTTTAATTATTTATATGTCTCTAAATTTGTATCATTTGTCTATTTGTTGGTTGTTGGTTGAAACCCCTGAGACTATGATTCTACCGCCACGGCGAATCGGCGAATCGATAAAACACGTTTACGAAGGAAAATGCCTATAAAATTCAGCGGCACGTTGAGCCCAGTTCATAAAATCATATAAGAACGTACGAACCAGAGAAATGAATCAAATCGTTTTGACAGTTGATGTCAAATGTTAAATGTCAGTCTGACGTTTATCACAATGGATTACGTTTCTATTTGAAATTTCTGTCATTACATTGACTGTGGTAGAATCTTGAAAGCTAAAGTACCGAATGAATCTGCCAAGATATCATTAGGCCTTGTATGAAAATTCATCTACTCGTTTGTTTCCCTCGCAAAAAAAAAAAAAAAAAAAAAAACGTGACATTCCAGAGAAAGTTTGAAGAAATGGATTACGAATTTGATGGCACGTGAAAAATTGTCCGCTTTCCATTGAAGCTAACACGTACATCGATGTACGAAGAGAAATCGATAGACTACGGTGATTGAAAAAAAAATTATTAACGCATTTGACAGGAATGAAATTGGAATATCTTTAAATCACGCGACACCGAATGGATCTCTGTTGATACAAAACTCTAATATCTCCTATTTTGGACGTTACAGGTACTATTATCATCTGAAATCAAACATTGATACTAGAGACAATTATATCTTTTTTTTTTGTTTTTTTTTTTTAAACGAACAATGTTTCGTATCGACACATGACAAGCGCCATCAAAACGTCGACTATTGATTCCCTGGCAAATATTCGCATAAACATTTCGACACGTGTCAGAACAATATCCGACCCACGTCGGATACGTCGTTCACCAATAAACGATCAATACTTGACTCTCCCTTTAAAACTCATTATTTCTTTTGCCGTATCTAATTTATAGATTTAAAAAAAAGAAGAAGAAGAAAAAGAAAAACCCACGGTATTGGGGGGAAAGAAAAGAAAAGAAAAGAAAAGAAAAGAAAAGAAAAGAAAAGAGAAGAAGAACACGAAACAAAGTAGGCCAGAAAAAAGCAGAAAACAAAAAAATTCGCCGTGGCTTAACAGCGATTTTCTTTTTTCCTTTTTTTCGCCGTCGCATTCGTTGCATTATCTGTTTCGTAGTGAGGAATGAACCGTAGTAGATAACCAAGAGAAAACTAATGGAGGAAGGACACGCAATATGTAAGCGTTACTGTCAATTATTTGCATCGTGTATTTAAATGCAGGAGGTTTAAACAAAGTTTCAAATGTTAGGAGAACGAAGACGAAATACACAAATAAAGAAAACTAAAATGGTCGTCGCGATCGATTGACTGATGAAGAAAAATGTAATCGCATGTCCTGATATTATTGCACTCTGAACGTCACCACATGATTACACCGCTTACTTCAACGACACAAAGTTCCGAACGACTCGATCTGCTTAACGTCTAATTTTAATCCTAATATTTATTCACATTAACTTGTCGTAAAACAATTTACACTTCTTTCGCGTTAATATCGATTAATCATATGAAACAAAAAGCCGAGTCGATGATCGATAGAAACCTTGTGTTTCGTCGCGTGTAACCGACAAAGAAAAAACTCCATTAATTTGTAACAAACGGTTTTTCCTCCCTTGAAAATGAATATTTTACGTGTGAATAGTAGCTCCTATACGATATTACGATTCCTCGCTTCGAAAAAAAGCAATATTATGCGCAAGATCTGTGCACAGATCTCGTAACAATAATAACTAGATAATAAAGATCCCTGAATACATACAATATAATAATATAATATAATATATACTCTCCTACGTTCTCTGTGTGGCACGCGCGAATAACACTTCGCAATCATTTCAACAATCGATTAAACTTTTTTTCTCTGCTCTCCCTAGAACCTGGCAACCTGGCCAAAGGTTCGTTCTCGAAACATCTTTTCCGCAGTGTCTTGTAAAAAACAGCATGACGCTAATTAGAGAACGATCCAGCCATTCTTTCGCTTTTCCTTGTTCACTGTTCACAGCTCTGTTCGCGTAATTGGTTCAATTTGTACAACAGCACATACTAGATTCATTTGCTGAATTATAACTATGGATGTTTAATGCAGTACACACATCGATTTTACACTTATCAATCGTTACACTTAATGGTATTAAAATGTGCAGTTATCCTATATAAAACGGCATATATCTTAGACATTCTTAAAAATATAAAGTTTGCGATCCTCTAATTTCAAATTGACTGGATTCTTTTTCTCTCGGAAAAAAGACATAACTAAAATAACATTCGAATTGGAGCTACATATAATTTTGATTGAATTGGTAGTATTTGGTAACACGATGCTAACTCTATAACGTCAAACACCCACAGTTAGTACATTTGCATTTGATTTCTACGATATCACTGGTTCGGTGTCACAATCTTACGTAAATGAATCTTACGTAAATTACATTTTGTTTATTTGGTAGATTTTTCTGTCTGGCGACAGATCTTTGTAAACTATCCTAAAATGAGAGCTCCAAGCATCTCGCAACTTGTACTACGTATCCTACGCTATCCTGAAATAACATCGTTTTTTTTTTTTTGTTTTTTTTTTCTTTGTACCTGTAAAAGGGGTACTCGAAAAGGAAAGTTTGGTTATTTCGACGAAACAATATGCCTGATATCTTAGAGTGTTTCGCGAATTTCAACGACCGCCGGGATCACTGGCCAAAGCTCCAACACTTTTCACACTTGAAAAATAAAGCCTTTTCTTTCATATGAGTCTTCCTTTTAGAGAAAATTAATAGAACTGCACGCTCTCCGTATCTCCCCGCGATTCACTATCACTCACTGTTCTTCGCTTATGCCTCTGGGCACGCATAGAACGTACCCTACTCACTCATAACATGTTACAATTATACTACCGCCATCCTCAATATGAATATCGTTAAATTGAATTCGAGTTGATACTTCATCGATAATATGCAGCTTCTAACATTTCTACGAAGAGCTTGTTCATTGGTACCTTCCCCGTTCGATAAACACTAGACCAAAATCTTCTAACAATTCCATCAACCTGCCTGAGACTGGGCAGCACTAGGAACATGTTTTGAGTAGCACGAAGCGCTTGTCCCGGTCTTACTGCCGCCATACAGTCCGATAAGGAATTTAGAATAGAATCTCGGAAACGATACAGCGCTTGTGGTTCATCTGATCTTGCATCACTGTTTGCTAATATCAATGCTTTCAGAACGTAATATTCTTCTCTGGTCAAACCCAATCTTTGAAGCCTTTCTACGATTTGGATACACTGTTCAAAAAGATAAACAATGCATATAAATGTACGTGATACGTGTAGATGTACATGATACGAATCGAGATCATTGAAATAATTAAGCGATACTCACGTGCGTGTATAGCTCTGTACAATGGCATTCGCGTGCAAGTCGTTCGTCAAGGGTAAAATCTTGGGCAAACCTTAATCTACCATTATTTGGCATGCTCCTCCATGCGAGGCTAAATGTCAGTATCTCGGCCCACGTGCTTTGCAGAAGTCGCATTTGATCGTTTAGAGCTAAACTACTGAATCCAGGAATCTGCTTTGCCCAACCTTCGAGCGAGGAATTTTAAATAAAAGATTGGTTCTCAAACCGTACTCAAATATAATTTTATATTGATAGAAGAACCTATCGTTGTATATTACCAATTATTCCAACCAGTTCTCGATCGTATAAGTCAGATAATTGTCCCAGTACTCTTTGATCCGTGTCAAGAGTGTGAGAGATATTGGATACTTGCAGCATATCTGGTTCACAGGCAGCCAAAGCCTCCAGCATTTTATTATCTATCAATAAGTGACAAAATTTATCGTTTGAACATCTGGGTCAGACTTAAGATGATTTAGTGTTAAGATGAAAAGAATCTACCAACGAATCAAAGTATCCGACTCGAATAAAATAAAGAGTGAAAGGACCCGATAGCTTACTTATTATTTCGTTAGAAGCTCCTGTCGCTATGTTTGCTAGAAAGAATAAAATATCAAAGATTTAATCTCGTATTTGCGAGACTATAGGAGCTATACGTTCTATAATGATACGATCGCGATCGAAACATGATATTTATATCAGCAAGAATTATTTTAAAAAATCACCTTCCAACGGAGCTGTCTTCACCGGCGTGTAGGGATCGGTGGATCTTCTATATTTTTGTCTCCCTCCTCGGACACGATCCAATCGGACTCCTTCCTTCAACATGCCCTGTCTAAGGCACTTTTGAAACCTGCACGCTTGGCACGCTTTTCTCCTACGTTTGTTTATTTCGCATTCCCCGTTCGCAGGACACGTGTATTCAATGTTACCTGTGAAATTACTCGCTATTTTATTGTAATATACATGGTTCTCATCCAGGTAGCACCAATATTAATTTTATGAGTACATCCGCTTTAGAACAGTAGCATGTGGATACAGATAATTAAAATATCCTGATACTATAACGGATAGCAAAGAAACAAGAAGATCGTACTGCTGCAACTATGTGTTATATTATATTTAAATACTACATGTATTACATTATATTTAATCGTAGTTGCGTGGTGCTATCTGGAAAATTTTTCAGGAGACACGTTTTAAGCGCGAAAGAACTCTTCTTACCTTGTATGGTTCTTTTAAAGAAAGCTTTACACGCCTCGCAAGACGCGACTCCATAATGAAAACCACTCGCAACATCGCCGCACACTAGGCAAAGTCTTCTAGGTATCATGTCTTCCTCTTTAACGCCTTCCTAAATAAAACGATACGTTTGAGCCTCGACACAAAAGATTACAGAATAATCTCGCAAAAGTATACAACAATTTCAGCTATTCGTTCATACATTATTTACCTCGGGTGTTCCTAAAGGCTGCGTGGTTGACGAACAATGGTGCATTTCCGGACTACCAGGGCTACCCTCACCTCCACCATAATCGGCTGGTACCTCTATTTTACTGCAAATTACCTAAAAGACAGAAAAAAAAAAAATTACGTAACATGGCAATTACTACGCATTGGCCGTTTCGAGTTATGTGAAATTTTTAACCGGTCACAAAGTTTTTTTCTGCGGAGAAAGTTGTTGCACAAGTTGTTCAAAATACCTCTTGATGTTGAAGCGTAGTGGTCGGTGAACAAACTTGATAATTCTGCGTCGGGGTGGTAGGATTCTCGATTTCTTGTTTGATGTTCGCCATGGTCCTATTATTTCCAATCATATTTTCGGTGCCGCCACCGGGCATCATACAAACCTGAAACAATCAGCACAGGGCATCTTACAATTCCGTGTACGTTCTCGTCTCATGACACAGCCTTGACGGCGTTCACTTTTAAACGAATCGTGGAAAATGCCGAAAAGCAGAAGAAGAAGAGACAGTCTGCTTTGCAGTCAGCTGCACTTTTTTCCCTGCCGCTATTTTTAAGCACGACCAACGCCTCAAGCATTTTTAGAATTGACTTCAGAAAATTCACGATACCGTAGCACCGTAGTATTCCCGGAATGTATCAGCAGCGTGTCATACTTCTTAATACCATCTTATATATATATATATATATATATCTTTTACCTTTGTGATCGCTCTGATCACTTTCCATTCATCTAATTCGTTTGTCTCTTAAAGATTCGATAACGATACAAGGACTAGACATTGTTATTCTACGATGCAACACGGCAATATATATATGAAAAAAAAAAATAGTGAAATGAATCACATGAATAAGTTAATGGGAAGGAAGGTATCCTTAAAGGAGGAGGTGGGTAGAACGATAGTGAACAAAGTAACGGTGAAAGGATTGCGTAAGCCTGTTCCTCTGCCGCCCTCCTGCCCTCGGTGTCGTATATTAAATGCACGCAGAAAGGGGGCCGAGGGGCAAAGGGAAGAAGCGCAGAGTATCTGGTTAGCCTTGAACTTGACTTTTCTGCGAGATGCAGTTACGATCGTTTGCGGGAGCTCGGGACGCGTGTCTGGAGATTTATGCGCTCCCCAGCCGCAATCTGTCTCTCGCAGGCAGACACCTTATCACCGCAACGCGATCATTTTCGACACCGATAGATATCGTTTCGCACGATTTCAATTCCAGGGGAATCGCCGAGCAGCCATTCACCAACAGAATAATGGAAAACGCCCGCTCGGGCCGTACGCCGGACTATCGATTCCATTCGAGTTCTCGCAAGATACGCGTCCTTGAAAAAAAAAAAAAGAAAAAAAAACTCTTCCCATTTTCGGCGAGCTCCACTTATCTCTCAACGGCAGAAATCGATAAAGATCGAGAATCGTCGATCTGCGTGGCGGCCGAAGGACAGACGAAAAGAGAGAAAAGAAAAGAAAAAAAAAAAAAAAA